ATTAGGGTACTTCAGGGGCTTACAAGTGGGTTATAACTACACTTATAATTGGGTTATAAGTACCCTGAACCTCCAAGTACCCTTGCCGGATTGGTCTCCGAGCCCCGGTGGATGTGATTTGGATGCGGAAGCCGCTGGTGTGACGAAACCCTAAACCCTAAAACCCTAAACCCCAAACCCCAACCCCAAACCCCAAACCCCAAACCCCAAACCCCAAAGCCCAAACCCCAAACCCTAAACCCTAAACCCTAAACCCTAAACCCTAAACCCTAAACCCTAAACCCTAAACCCTAAACCCTAAACCCTAAACCCTAAACCCAACCCCCCCCCCCCCCCCCCCCCCCCCCCCTCCCTCCCTACCTGAAACAAACAGCAGCTGCGAGTCTGCGGTGTGTTCGTTTTGGCTACTTAGTGCTTCGGGCTATTTAGGGCTGAGAGACCTAAACCCTAAACCCTGAACCCTAAACCCTGAGCCCCAAACCCTGAACCCAACACCCTAAACCCTGAACCCTACACCCTAAACCCTGAACCCAACACCCTAAACCCTGAACCCTACACCCTAAACCCTGAACCCCAAACCGCCTGTGGTTTGAGATTGCTGCCAGGCGCAAAGGCTGACCACTTGATCAAGAACGTGCGCGAGGCACGGCTGGGGTTCTCCCTGAGGTTAGTATAGGGGCCTCCATAATGAAATAAAGGGGTTTGGGGGGTTAATGTAGTATACATATAGAAACACATAAGTGCATAAATGAATCAACAAAAATACATGAATACTATATACATATATATGGACCATAAGGGAGTACTAGTAGTAATTCTTCCGACCCCTCTATTACGCAAGGGTTAGGGCGTTTTGGGGAATCTCGAATTAAGCCAACATGCTTTGTCTTGTATGACTGGCCTTTTGACCCGAAAACCCTGAGGTCCTTGGTAGCCCATGTGGTGCTCTTTTGTTGTTTTTGTTGTTCCAGGTTCCCTTATAAGGTAACCAACCCTTTTGTTTTGTTTTTGTTGTTCAAGGTCCCCTGATAAAGTAAACCTTATCAGCATTCGGTTACTGGGCTACTGGAAGTCAGAGAGGGGCCCTGTGATTTGAACCGTTAGCATGTTGAGACTTGAGCATATGCAGCCCTTTGCATGTTGTGATGGGGACCAACATGGGGTTCAACTGTTAAACCCCAAACCCTAAACCCTAACCCCCCGCCCCCCCCCCCCCCCCCCCCCCCCCCCACCCGAAACCCTAAACCCGAAGCCCAAACCCTGCAGCCTAGACCCTAAACCTCAAATCCTAAACCCTAAACCCTAAACCCTAAACCCTAATCCCTAAACCCTAAACCCTAAACCCGAAACCCTGCCAGGTTCTGGATGAGATGGACACGGAGAGCAGGCGTCGTCAGAGCTTGGGCGGTTGAATTCCTTGTGGGCGTTGGGCGTCTTAGGGTCTTTGCGGGTTCTTTGGGTTTGGGGTTCAGGGTTTAGGGTCCAGGGTTTAGGGTTTAGGGTTCAGGGTTCAGGGTCTAGGGTTTGGGGTATGTACAGTAAGGGTTCCCCAAGTAGAGGCCCCAAAAACGGGACAACGTAACCACCCTTAGATTTGGATTTTGGTTTTAGAGTCGGTGTCAGGGTCGGGGTTTTAGGGAATCTTCCTTCGCTGCGCCATTGGGCTGGATTGTTGATTTCTGTTGTTCAGGGGGTTTAGTCTGAGTAGTTATCCAAAATTAGGATCCCTTTTTGGGTCCCCTATGCAGTACGGCACCCTTAAGACAAGGACCCCCAAAGAGGACCCCTATGTAGAGAACTACCCATCTGCCATAAAAGGCACCATCGAGGAAGGCCCTCCACCCTATACCCTTCGCCCTAGATAACAAACCCTGAACTCTAAAAACCCTGTAGGTAGTCAACCCTATACCAATCACCCTATATGCCAAAACCTAAACCCTAAACCCCAACCATAAAGCTCTAAACCCTAAACCCTACACCCTACAGGCAGTTTGCCATTAACGGCTGCCGCAACGCCTGGATCGTGAAGCCGTCGGGGAAGTCCCGCGGACGGGGGATCAAGGCGTGGGTTTAGGGTTGAGGGTTTCGGGTTTAGGATTCTGGGTTTTGGGTTCACGGTTTCGGGTTTTCGGGTCTAGGGTTTTCGGGCTTTCGGGTTTCAGGGTTTCAGGGTTTTGGGGTTTTAGGGTTTTAGGGTTTAGGGTTTTAGGGTTTTAGGGTTTTAGGGTTTTAGGGTTTTAGGGTTTTAGGGTTTTAGGGTTTTAGGGTTTTAGGGTTTTAGGGTTTTAGGGTTTTTGGGTTTTTGGGTTTTTGGGTTTTTGGGTTTTTGGGTTTTTGGGTTTTAGGGTTTTAGGGTTTTAGGGTTTTAGGGTTTTAGGGTTTTAGGGTTTTAGGGTTTAGGGTGTCAGGGTTTAAGGTGCTTTTAGGGCTTCAAGGGGTTTAGGGTTTTGTGTTGTGCGTCCCAGAGAGCTCAACATACCTGGGCAGGCAATGTGCAAAGACCCCTACAATTCCATTGGTTAACGTATTTTACGCCCTACAAAACATCTTCAAGCCCTGGTTTTTCCAATTTCAAGCGGGTCGGGAACTCTAAACCAAACCGAGCCAAAGCCAGAGCTAGCCAAGCCAAGTTCCCACAACATGGTTAAGTTCGGAATCGCAGCCCCTGCCGGAGGTTTAGGGTTTAGGGTTTAGGGTTCAGGGTTCAGGGTTCAGGGTTCAGGGTTGTAAAGGTTTCCAATTAACGTGTTCTCGGGTGAAGGGCGCATTTCCTCGAACAATTTCGGGTCAAGGGATCGTCCTGGAAAATCAAGTTGGAGGTCTGCGCTGTGGGTACTCTCTCTCATGCATTCGGAGTAACAACTTGCTGGAAATCTACTTCAGGACTTCCGTTGAGGCTGTTCCAGGTGGAAGGCCCCTGATCATCGCAAGTTCGAATAACCCCAAGGCCCTAAGCCCAAAGCCCTAAGCCCTAAGCCCTAAACCCTAAACCCTAAACCCTCAACCCTAAACCCTAAACCCTAAACCCTAAACCCTAAACCCTAAACCCTAAACCGCCAAAAAGGGGTACCAGAGTTGACGAGCTCCGCCCTTCGCAGGTGATGCGCGAGCTCGACGAGATCTTCCGGCACTGTGCTAGCGACGGCTTCCAGTGGGTCTGCCAGAAGTACATCGAGCGGCCTAGCCGGCAGAGTTGTTTTTCGATATCTCTCTCTCTCTATATATATATATATGACTGTATCTATATATATATACAAAGGTATGTATATATATATATATACATACTTGTATATATATATATAGGTATACATATCTGTATATTTATATCTGTATATATTATACACACACACTTGTTTTAGGGTTTTCGGGCTAACTTCACGAGGGGGTGCGGAACCCGGACTTCAGACTTAGGGCACGGAAGCCCTCAGTACCCTAAACCTCCCAACCTTGCAGTAAGCCCTATATACCCTAACCCGAAAGAACAAACATCAGCTTAGATGGGTTTAGGTTTAGGGTTTAGAGTTCAGGGTTGCGTTCCTGCCAACGAGGGCTGAAATCTGCTGGAGAGCCCTGAAGAAAACCTAACTTCAACATGATTTTCCTAGAGCCTTTCCTCACCCTGATAAGCCATGGCCGAGACCCTCAACCCAACCCCAAACCCTAAACCCTAAAACCTAAACCCTAAACCTAAACCCCAAACCTCACTCACGCACTAGGGGCTTTGCTAGACGTCAGTTCTTTTGGGGGGCTTAGGATTGAGAACTTAGGGTGAAGGTTGAAGGGCCAGATGTAGCCTCCCCTAAAACCCTCAGAAAAGGGTTTAGGGTTGAGGGTTGAGGGTTGAGGTGTTTAGGGTTAGGTTTAGGGTTTAGGGTTTAGGGTTTGGGGTTAGGGTTTAGGGTTTAGGGTTTAGGGTTTGGGTGTAGGTTTAGGGTTTAGGGTTTAGGTTTAGGTTGCATCCTTGTCGCCTGGTTTACAGAAGGGGTGAGGTTTCCTTCTCAACACCGAAGAAAGCCCAAGAAAGTGCACCTCTTTGTTTTGTTACACTTGGGAAGTCTTGGAAACACTAAACCCTCAACCCTATGCCCTCGACCCAAACCCAAACCCCAAATCCCAAACCCCAACCCAAACCCTAAACCCTAAACCCCAAACCCTAAACCCTAAACCCAAGTAGTCTCTGAGCCAGGCCACAGCTCATCCACGGCTACAAGTTCGACATCCGCCAGTGGGCATCACACCCAACAAGAAGCAGGGTTAGGGTTAGGGTTTAGAGTTAGGGTCTAGGGTTTTAGGGTGCCCGGCCCCCCCCCCCCCCCCCCCCGCCCCAAAGTGTACCTGACTTCTTTTTTCTGTCTTACTTAACTCTTAGTTCTTCGACTCAAAAACGGAACTAGGAAAAGAGGCCGAGGTAGTGGCTTGGGGGGCGATAGGGGGTGTTGTGATCAGATAGCTAAGGGTTCGTTTAGGGTTGCTAAGGTGTGGGGCCAATGGGCTTTTGTGTTTGGAGGGTTGGGGGGCGTTTTCTGTGGTTTAAAGATCACGGTACGGAATTTAGGGGCTTGGGGTTGCTGGTACACCCCTAAACCCTGAACCCTAAACCCTAAAACCCAAACCCGAAATAACCCCCAACCCTAAACCCGAACCCCAAAGCCCAACAGACCAGTGGCAGGCGCCTTCGGCATTCAAACCTTCCTGGAGTTGTTTTGATTCTGTTGGCTTGCGTTTCGGGCCAAGCTTACCTCAACGGCGTCTGCCGCAAGCATCCGCACACGGGGGTTTCTACGATATTAGCGGTACCTTATTAGGGTCCTTACCATAAGGGGATCCGACTATTTGGGATCTATACTAAAGGTCCCTTATGATCGTAAACCCTACACCCTAAACCCCAAACCCTAAACCCTAAACCCTAAACCCTAAACCCTAAACCCTAAACCCTAAACCCTAAACCCTAAACCCTAAACCCTAAACCCTAAACCCTAAACCCTAAGCCGCAGCTCCAGATGTCTGCGGCTGCAGAAGAGCAGCCCACGAAGGCATCTCGAACTCCAGAGGAATGGAGGTCCATTACCATCCGGCAGCTGCAGGGCGTGCGGAAGGACGACATCTAGCACAGTATTCGGAGCCCCAACACCCACAGAAGCCATTAGAATCTTACTATTGGGGTAGAGGGCCCTAGAAGGCTTTAGGGTTTAAGGGTTCAGGGTTAAGGGGTTTAGGGTTTAGGGCCTGTAGAATTCTTATGTTTCTTAGGTGGCTTGTTTGGGCTCTTGAGGACATCATCAAGCACTGCCCTTCGCACATCGCGGTAGAAGGCTTAAGCCCAGGGCGCCACCACAATCGAGCTCGGGTCAGCCAAGCGGCCACCGGTGCATTTGGCTCCTTGATGTCGGGAACCGACGACTCTTTGGTCCACGTCAAGGTGGCTGGGTAGGCTGTCGGGACATTTTTGTATGTTTCTCTTCTTGGGGTTTAAGAAGGATCATGCTTAGGAATATTTCTTTGAGAGGGCTGAAAGGGCCAACGCAGGTGGAGAAAGGCTGCTTCGAGAAGAGCCATCCAGTTCACATCTCTGGCAAGGATTGCGGCACGGTCACGTCGATCACATGGTGCGCAGACAATTGGACCTCCACTCGTAACTGGACGGCGCCTTTAACGCCCGAGGACTCTTGAGGTTTAGGGTGTAGGGTTTAGTGTTTAGGGTTGAGGGTTTACGGTTTAGGGTTCAGGGTTTAGGGTTCGGGGTTTAGGGTTTAGGGTTTGGAAGCACTGCTGCCCGCATTTCGTATAGGAGCAGTGGAGATTCACTTGTCTCTTTTCCTGAGTTCCTGAAGGTTCATTTGTACTTCTACCAGGTAGGGTTATAGGTGCCGCAAATTAGGTTGGAACCATGGTTGCCCGAAATAAGGTTAGAACCATGGTTGCCCTGCTTATAACCCTACTTATACCTGCCAAGTAGCTGAAGAGAGGACGTTACCCTGTACGACTTCAACTACTACAGACTCTTGGTAGCCCTGGGTACCCTTTACACCTTTTTTTGGTTCTGGGTTCCGTTATAAAGAAACCAACCAAGAAAAGGGTGCCCTTATTATAATATCTTTACTGGGCCACTAAAACCCTAAAACCCTAAAACCCTAAAAGCCTAAAACCCTAAAACCCTAAGCCCTAAACCCTAAAACCCCAAACCCTAAGGACTCTGTCCATCCACGGTTCCCATGGGCATCTTGACTAGTGGGCTGGTGGCAAGCGACTGCCCCTGTGACGCTGTTTGCATTCAAGCAGCTTTGTGGGCAACTAGGCAACCGTTTTCTGTAGTTCAGATGGTTTAGGCTTTCCGCGAGCATGCGCCCCCTTGTTGGGTTTTAAGCGCAGACGGGGGCTGCCCCCGGAGATATAGCCGGAATGACAAGGTCCAGGGGCCCAAAACGGGGTTGTAAGCACTCTGACTTAATTTGTAAGACGAGTAAGGATGCCCCTAAACCCTAAGCCCAAACTCTACCCCCTAAACCCTGAATCCTTCCTTCCCAGCTCCCTAGGAAGCCACGAGGGCAAGAGGCCGGGTTTCTGCTGTCACGGAGGAAGAAGTGCACATCATCGCCGACACCCGGCCGCTGTTGATGCAGCTTTTTCAGCCTACGACTTCGGCTACTTGAAGGTTCCGAAAAATGAGGTTCTAGCCATCGCCACCTTTCTTCAAACCCTTCGTAGAATTACCCATGAATGGCCCATGAACCTCTAAGTATATCAGGTCCCCAGGGGCCATGTGAGGCAACTGCAAGTCAAAAGTTCCATTTGGTACTAGAACGGGCCATTCAAACCCGAATCCCTACTTGGGGTAGATTCCTAGGGGTTTTTTTGTCCTAAACCCCTAAACCCTAACCCTATAAGCCCTAAACCATGACATTCAAGTGTACCCCCATGAAGCGTGATCCCCCGACTAGGAAAGCGGAGGCGCTTCCAAGTTGGCCATCCGTCACTTTGTCATAGTTGGGTACCATTTTCATGTTTAAGGGTACTTAAACCCTATAAGGGTTTAGGGTTTATGGTTTAGGGTGCGAGTTTTAAGGAGGAATACACAATTAACCTTTTGAGTATTATCCCAACATGAACCAGGTCACCGTGGCGGGCCAAGACGTGGGATCACCTGTCGCTTTTCTTTGGCGTGGTGAGGTGCGGCATCTGGGCTGCTCTGGTTGGGTTTAAGAGGGATTAGGAGCTTAAGTCATGTTGTAACCAGACTAAATGGATAAATCGATAAATACATACTTTTATCTATATACATACACATATACATATACTATATACATATATACATATCCCTGCGATTATTGCTTTCTCTTCCTCTTAATCGTTTTCTTCTCTTCTCCCCGTCTTTCTCCGCTCTCATCCCTCTCTCCGTCTCATCACGCACGAACAGCTTAGCACAAAGACCTGGGAAAACACACATCCCAGGCATTGCAGCGACGTGGGGGAGCTTTATGAACAGGAAGCACAGAGGCCGAGATGGTTCGTGTCCCACTGGGGGGGAGGGCGTTCTGGACTTCGGGCCTGCGTGAGCAGCATGCAAGCCCCTGGCCAGGCATTAGGGTTTAGGGTTTAGGGGTTAGGGTTTTAGGGTTTAGGGGATTTAGGGTTTAGGGGTTTGGGTTTAGGGTTTAGGGTTTAGGGTTTAGGGTTTAGGGTTTAGCCTCTGGCAGACTTCTTTACCCTGAAGCGACACATCCTTAGCCTAGACCCCCCTGGAGTAATCTTCAATCTTCTTGAGGGGTTTGCCCCAAGGACCTCGCTTTACGACAGCTAGTTTGGCGACACACTGAGGAAAGCTCAATGGTTTTTCATTTTTGCATAGTTTCTTCCTAAACCCAGACCATGAAGCCTTGAAACCCTGAACCTAAACCCCAGGACCATAGACAAGCACCCATACTTTGGGCTTGGACGCGCCGTACTGGGTCTGCGCCTACGCCAACGACCAGACTCGCTAGGGATTGCGTTGGGTAAGGACCCCTCAGGGAGTTGCATGCCCCTGTCTTATAGGGCACGTAAGGGGTAATATGCAGGGCCCCTAAACCCTAAACCCTATCAAACCCTAAACCCCTAAACCCTAAAGAAGAACGACCCAAAGAAGGATACGCGCAAGCTCCTTTTTTTTCCGCGCTCTGATTGACCGAGTGCCGAGGTGGCTGATGCCTCGTTTGTACCTTTGGGGGTTTTGGGTTTGGGGTTTGGGGGTTTTAGGGTGAGGGTTAGGTTTAGGGTTGGTTACAGGTTCAGGTTTTAGGGTTTAGGTTATCCCTTCTCTAGGAAGGGTTCCCTTGATGGGAAGCTCTGTGTTGAGGGGCAAGAGGGAGCCCTTCTTGTCCTTGGAGAGCGGGGGAAGCCTAAGCCTGTCAACGTTTACTGAATCTTGAAAAGCCCTGAATTAAGGCCCGAACCACAAAACCCTACACCCCAAGACCCTAAGACCCTAGACCTAAACTAAACCCTAACCTAAACCCTAAACCCTAACCCACTCTAAACCCTAAACCCTACACCTGGAGGGGGGAGCGAGGTGTCCTGCTGATACTGAAACCGGCCACGCTCCGATATGCCCGGGGGCGTGCCCTTTACGAGGGTATGGTGAGTTCTTTGAGCCTCGGGCATTGCATAGGGATGGTTTAGGGAAGTTTAGGGGAGCTTGGGGTTTAGGGTTTAGAGTGTAGGGTTTAGGTTTTAGAGTTTGGAGTTTTTGGGTTTTTTCGGGTATAGGGGTTGGCAATCTTCGAACATCTACGGAATATGTATATCTATATATGTATATCATAGACCTTTTTCCTTTTTTTTTTTTTGTTGGGGGGGGGGTCTGAGCCTGTACGCAGTGCCTACTTTGGGCTATTCGGAGCCCTCAGATTCGGGGAGTGGCCCTAAACCCTAACCCTAAACCCTAAACCCTAAACCCTAACCCTAAACACAAAAACCTAAACCCTACCCCCTACTTTTTTCCTAAATCTACTAAATTCTAAGCCCTGTCCGGGTGGAGGGTTTCAGGCCTGGAGGTGGGCCAACCTAGGTTCTAGGTTTTCAGGGTTCAGGGTTCAGGGGGTTCAGGGGTTCAGGGTTTAGGGTTCAGGGTCAGGGTTTAGGTTAGTTTTAGGGTTAGGGTTCTAGGGTTTAGGGTTTTAGGGTTTAGGGTTTAGGCCACTTCTTAGGCCCTAAGACTCTTGTACCTCCCATGCCCCAATAAGCCAGTCAATGAGCATAAAGCCCTAACCCCTAGACCCGAACCCCCGTTTCAGGAGCAATTTGGGTGCCTGACGTCCGAGTACTCCCCCAAGACAGCTTGGGACATCTGCGCTTGGGATGGAAAAGCTGCACAACTCCTGGTCCAAGGTTCTCACCCAGGCTGAATGTACCTGGTCATGCTTTGGGAGATCTTGGTACCCTAAACCCCAAACCCGAAACCCTAAACCCTAACTCCAAACCCTAAACCCTAAACATCTTTCTTCGTTGGAAGGGGATCATCTTAGCTAGCTGCTTGGCTTCAGAAAGCACATCTCAGCAAAGAAGAGAACTTCCTGCCCGGAAGGGCTATGGCAGGAAGCAGGCGAGGGCGGAGCATCCCTCTCACCATCTTGAAGCAAGGTGGGTTCTACACCAAATAGAATAGAATCCCTTAAAAGGGACCCTAAAACCTAAACCCTAAACCCTAAAACCCTAAACCCTTAAACCCTAAACCCTAAACCTAAACCCTAAACCCTACACCCTAAACCCTAAACCCTAAACCCTAAACCCTAAACCCTAAACCCAACCCTAACCCTAAACCCTAAACCCCTAAACCCTAAACCTAAACCCTAACCCTAACCCTAAAACCCTAAACCCTAAACCCCCCTAAACCCTAAACCCTAAACCCTAAACCCTAAACCCTAACCCTAAACCCTAAACCCTAAAACCCTAAACCATAAACCCTGAAACCCTAAACCCTAAACCCTAAAAACCCTAAACGAAAACCTAAACCCTAACCTAGCCC